CAAGCAAACACTTTTTTTACCAGCGCAGACGGAGACCAGCGGCACGACACGACAGTCGAGCGACAGACGACCGACCAACACCAGGGGGGGACGGAGGAGGAACACATCAGGCAATCACAATGCAGGCTTCAGTACTCTTCTAACCCAAGTCACATGGCCGGTCGATTGTCACTGCAGGCCTCAGAGGCAGGTGCTGCTGCTGACGCTGATGGCGCTGCGGCTAATATACCAAAGCACCGTGATCCACTAGTTTGTCGATGCACGTGCTGTTGCTGATTCTGGTGTTGACGATTCTTGAGCCTCATTGATCCTAGTGCGACCTCTCAATACGGCAGATGGCTCTGTCGCAAGCTTTTGCGCGTTGACAAGGTCATACGACTTCTGACCGCCACTCTGCATTGGCAGAATGTGAAGTAGCTCGCGCCAGCAAGGGCAAAAGATGAAGCAGTTGGTGAGAAAGAGAGCTCGGAACCCGACGCCTGGCCCCCAAGTCATATGACTCTGCATTAGACAGACTACAGCAGTACCTAACGCTGTCGCTGAAGACAGCAGCTGCCCCCAGCAGCTGAAAACTTGGATTGGAAACTCAAAACCCCGCCAACATCATCTCTTCAGACTGTTGGATTGCGCGTGCAATCCATCGTGGTTACACATCATCGAGCGAAGAAGAACGAGCTTGAATTATGAGGGCCTTGTACTCCAACGGATACTGTGCTTCCTGTACACGTGCAGGCACACGGCATTGCCAAAGCTCAGTTGACAGCGCGCGTCTTTGCGAAACGGTAGAACATCAACTGCAGAACATGCTGTGGCTATCCCCGACGTCTTCAGTCGATTTGACACACCATGGCACTTTGCCCGGGCATCCCTGAGGCATGCAGCAGAGACAAGAGCCGCACATGCCCAGCTGCGCCTTGGAAATGCGCACCGTTTTTACACCACCACGATACAGCAGAGACAAGAGCCGCACATGCCCAGCTGTGCCTTGGAACTGCGCACCGTTTTTACACCACCACGATGCCCGGGCATCTCTGAAGCATGCAGCAAAGACAAGAGCCGCACATGCCCAGCTGCGCCTTGGAAATGCGCACCGTTTTTACACCACCACGATGCACCATTACGCACCTGGGAGGCGAAAGCCACCGTGCTGCCATTCGAAGACGCTGGAAAAAAAGGTGCGAAGGGGCTTATTCCTGGCCACGGCGAGCCTCGGCGACAGGCGGGCGCCCCGACCTAAGCCTGAAGAAGGGCCCAAACGGACAAGCGCGGCTCCTGAACACAAAGTGTTCCTCATGTCAGCATCTTCACTGACTACCTACCAAACCACCCCAACCCAACCCGAAGACCCGAATTTGACCCGAATTTCGGGTTGGGGGGGGGTACGGGTTCCATGTGTTTTTTCGACGTTCCCCGACCCCCCCCCCCACTGGAAATGGAGGGCAAATTGAGGCCTTCGGGTTGGGTTGGGGTGGTCTGGTAGGTGGTGATTCGCTGTACCTGTCCTGGGGCCAGAAACCCGGGGCGGGCCCAGTCGTGGCGACGAGGGCGCGCCCCAGAGGCCGTCCGAAGACATCAAGCAGAACGATCCTCGCTCCGGAAGCGTCTCGACTGCACCCTCGGCCAAGCAAATCTCCGAACGTCGCCGGAAGTCCCCGGCAGCCTCCAGAGGTCCCTTAAATAGGGAGCCCACAAAGGACGTACGCGCCCAGCTATGTACATGAACACGGCCCCTCGATCCGCGAGGCCGGCCGCGTTATACAACGATTGCGCAATGCGTACTCTCGAAACCAGCGTGGATTCATGTACATGTACGTCCTTCTTTCGCTCCTGAAAAACCCGCAGAGCCTCGCAGCCTCCCCGCCCTTGGAGAGCGCGGCATCGCACGGGCGGGCGCGGGGGGCGCGCTTGGAGGGGTCGGCGCCGCCCGTTCCACACGACCCCTGGGAGGCCCCCCCCCGACTGGACCTACGAGGACACCCCAAGGCCTCGAAGGACCCCACCCAGGATGCCCAAGGAATCCTCAAGCCATCCTCGCCTTGAGATCTGGCGTCGCGAGGAACAAAGAAGGTTCAACGATCACGACCAGAGCGTCAGACGGTTAGGCCCTTCCCTTTCCACTGCATGTCTCAAGCTGGATCGACCTGCGAGGGCCCGGTGGGCCGGATCTGGGCGAAAACGCACGGTGTGAAAAAATGCGGCTCTGGGGGCTCGGGGCGCCCTCCTCCTCCCTCCTCCTCCCCTCCTCCTCCTCCTCCTCCCTCCTCCTCATCTCCTCCTCCTCCTCTCCTCCTCCTCCTCCTCCTCCTCCTCCTCCTCCTCCTCCATCCTCCTCCTCCTCCTCCTCCTCCTCCTCCCCTCCTCCTCTCCTCCTCCTCCTCCTCCTCCTCCCCTCCCTCTCTTCTCCTCGTCCTCTCCTCCTCCTCCTTCTCCACCTCCTCCTTCTCCTCCACTCCTCCTCCTCCTCCTCCCCCCTCCCTCCTCCTCCTCCTCCTCCTCCTCCTCCTCCTCCTCCCAATCATCATCCCATGCGTCCTCCTCCTCCTCCTTCTCCTCCTCCTCCTCCTTCTCCTCCTCCTACTTCTCGCCCTCCTCCTCCCTTGCCTCATCCCTTTCGCACTCCTCGAGGTATCGGGGGGGGCCAGAAGCCTCCGGAACTCCCGGGCGGGAAGTCTTCTGAGGTCCTCAGGATCCTCCTGAAGCCCCCTGGTGGCCCAAAAAGGTCCGCAAGATCCCAACAAATCCTGCCGTCGTCGGTAACGAATTGCCCTGTGGATGTGCCAGTTATGTGGTGCAAGCTAAGTAATGTGCAAGTTATGTGGTGTAAACTGCGCAATCCACCTTGCAGAACGTGAAGTCGTCAACTCCACTGCTCGCGCAATCATCCCAACCTCGCACTCGCAACTCATTTTACACAAACAAATGCGGGCGCGATTGCGGTGACTCCTTGGCACTGGTTGGCGTGTATCTGCGGCTGCGCTAGCGCGCGCAAGCTCGCGCGCAGAGCGACCAGCTGGTTTGGCACAACCGATGCGGCGCGATAGCACTTTCTGGTGGCAACTTCCCAGCACGTCTCAAAGGCCGCGCTAGCAAGCGAGCACTGCAGTGCGGGTCGGTGACTCGAGCGGGCGCGGTATCATTATGGCGTCGACAACGACCGCAACGGTGATGATAGCAGCGATGGTGGTGGCGATGATGACGATGAAGACGGCAAGGCCAATGACGGCGCCGATGCTGGTATCAACGATGATGCTGATGATGTCCACGCGTCGGTGATGAAGGTGCTTGGGTGATGATGGCGGCAATGAAGGCGAATGCCAATGACGATGACGTGATGAGGCGGCACTGATGAGGGTGATGGTGAGGAAGTGCGGGCGCGCGGAAATGCAAGAAGCCTGGCAAGCTTGCTGTTCAAAGCACACGTGTTTTCGCATATGTGTCTGAGAAGCTCTGTCTTGACATGCCTCGGAAACCAAGGGCTGAAGGACTTCGACACGCGCGCGTGGCGGCACGCGCGTGGCCGCACGGAATCATTTGATACGGAGTCGTGCACTAGGCGCATGCTGTATCAACGCGGACGCACCGCGCTGTAAGATAAGAATGCGAACTCTAAACGAGATTACTACAATCAGATAGTTCCACTAAGATTTCAGCCGATGCGCGCGGGCAGACAACCTGCAAGGTTTGTGGTGTAAAAAGCCTTCGGGTGCTTGATGTCATAGTGTCGAAATGATTGGGGAGCTGGCGTGTGTGCGTGCTTGACTAAGCTTGGCCTGTGCGCACGCGTGTGTGGATTTTGTGCACTCTGTTGCAGGGGATTGTTAGAAATAGATCTGATGCGAACGCATGGTATCATTTGACAGGGGTGAGGAGGGGGAGATCGGTGCCAGTTGGCCTGGCATGGTATGAAATCATCGGGGACATGAGCGGCGAGGCAGAATCATATGCAATGTGCAGTATGCCACTGGAGCCCAGGGGAGATGGCAGTCTGCTCTTCGCTTGAGAAGAGAATGTATGCAGTGTAATGTATGCTGTGTGAGCTGCTTGACCAGGGCTGTGGTGCAGGCTACGTGGTGCAATACATGTGATGCAAGGTCTGTGCGGTGCAAGCTCCATGGTTCAAGCACTGTAGCGCAGGCTGCGCGGCGGAATCCATGCAGTGCACCCTGTGTGGTGCAAGCTGTGTGGTAGAAACCTGGTGGTGGAGGCCCTGTCGCAGAAGCTGTGTGGTGCAAGCTGTGCGCGGTGCAAAAGCCACGTGGTGAGAGCTCTCCCGTGCCATCTGTGCGGCCGCCCAGCGCACGCGGCGCGCACGGGGCACGCACGAGGCGCCCACGAGGCGCCCGCGGGCGGGCGCCAGGCAGGAAACCTTGGCAGGCCCACCCCGCGCACGAGGCGCCCACGGAGCCGCCACGCGCGGGCACGAGGCGGCCACGAGGCGGGCAGCGGACGAGACCTCGGCACGTCCATCCGGCGCACGAGGCGCCCACGGGCACCAGCCCGACCAGGCAACCCTGGCACACCCCTGCGATTCCCCTGGATCACCGGTGCAAGAAGCTTCATGTCAAGCACGGCTAGGAGAAAATCGGTGCTGGATCCTCGAACCTCAACTCGCTCATGTCAAAACCTGTGCCCTGAGAGCCCTCCTGGGGCACAGCCTGGCCAGTGTTGCATCCCGGGTCGATGTCTGACGGCCCTGGGGCCCCGAAGCGTGGCCCCAAACACCAGGGATGGGGAAGAACTTCCTCAACCCTCGATCCTCGATCCTCGATCGTCCTCCACTGGATTCCGCCTCGAGTCTGCCGGGAACCGTCTGTGCACGGCCAAGATGTGTCTGACCGCCTACCAGACCACCCCAACCAGACCCGAAAGACCCTGATTTCGAGTTGGGGGGGTACGGGCTCCATATGTGCTTCCAACATTGTTCCCCGACGCCCCCCCGTGGGAATGGAGGGCAAGTGGGGGCCTTCGGGTTGGCTTGAGGTGATTTGGTGTGTGGCGTACAGTGCTGGCGCGGCCGCAAGAAACCCTCGCAAGAGACCCAGCCCTGAAAACCCGCGCGCATGGTGCACCTGAGGGGAAACCCAGAGCACCCGGAACGCACCAGCTTCTCCAAGGGCTGCGGGAAATCATCGCGCAGCTCGCGCAGCGAAGAAACCCAGGATTCCCTGACGACAAGCATATGATTTCTTGATGCGCGCCCCCGCTGTGCTTTCCAATTTTCCCCAACGGCCCCCCCTGGAAATGGAGAGCAAGTGGGGGCCTTCGGGTTGGGTTGAAGTGGCTTAGTGGGTGGTGTATATCCATCCCCTTAGGTCGGGCATGTCTTCGCAGAGGCAGATTTTGGACGGAAAAATAAGGACCAACTCATCACGAAAGCAAAAAAAGAAAAGTCACCATACTACATTTCTACCATCCTTGAACATTCCTCCTGTAGACGGACATGCCCGAACCGTGCCCACCGTCTCGGAGTCATGCCCCAGGACCCCGAGGCCACCCCGACGGAGCGGCGCACGCGTGAACACCCGCCCACCCCCCGGAGGGCGGACGGGCACACCCGCGGTCCCAGCGATCCAGGGCCTCCTCCTCCTCCTCCTGCGCAATCGGAATCTGGCCAAGCTATAATCGGAGCGAGAGGCAGGGAAGCTCAAACATTTGTCAGCCAGCCCGAGCTCTGCCTTTCGGATGTGTGCCAATGTTTCGGTTTCAGTGGAGAGCGGGCTCGGCAGCTCGGCGCCCAGCGGTGCGACCCGGACCCGCTCAGCGGTGATGAACTGGTCTAACGGTTTTCTCCTTGGCAAGCACTTGTCGCGGGCCCCTGGCTGGGATGGCGCCCCCCAGCCAGGGGTGCAAAAAGCTCCTCATCGATGGTGTTTGCCCCGGGGTTTTCCGAGGCAAGGACCTCTAACTCTCTCTCTCTCTCTCTCTCCCTCTCTATCTCCCTTTCTCTCTCTCTCTCTCTCTCTCTTTCTCTCTCTCTCTCTCTCTCTCTCCTCTCTCTCTCTCTTCTTCCTCCTCCCTCCTCCTCCTCCTCCTCCTCCTCCTCCTCCTCCTCCTCCTTATCCTCCAACTCCTCCAACTCCTCCTCCTCCTCCTCCTCCTCCTCCTCCTCCTCCTCCTCCTCCCTCCTCCTCTCCTCCTCCTCCTCCTCCTCCTCCTCCTCCTCCTCCTCCTCCTCCTCCTCCTCCTCCTCCTCCTCCTCCTCCTCCTACCCCCTCGAAGTCGTGCCCCAGGACCCCCGAGGCCACCCCGACGGAGCGGCACACGCACAGACACCACAGACGCCCCCCCCCCCAGAGAGGGCGGGCGGGCACACCCCGGGCCCCAGGCGACTCCATTGGGCAAGACTCCAGCAGCTGTCGGCCGTGGACGCCCCCTGCAGCGGAAGGCGAACAACAGAAACATGTCGCCGTCGCGGCGCGGCAAGGGCAATCCGCACGCGCGCGGGAGCGAAATCTCAGCAGGAGGAAGAAGAGGAAGAGGAGGAGGAGGAGGAGGAGGAGGAGGAGGAGGAGGCCAGAGCTGGAGGAGGAGAAGGAGGAGGAGGAGGAGGTGGAGGTGGAGGTGGAGGAGGAGAAGGAAGACGAGGAGGAAGAGGAGAGCAGGAGCAGGAGGAGCAGGAGGAGGAGGAGGAGAAGGAAGAGGAGGAGAGGGGGGGCGGGGAGAAGGCAGCGGCCAGAGCTGGAGGAGGAGGAGGAGGAGGAGGACGCGAATTAGCCCGCATGCAAGGGGAGGAGGCGGCCGCGGGAGAGGGACAGGCGCGGGGGTGCACTCACGCAACGAGGCTGCAGCGGGTGCGCGGGCGCGGCCTGGCTCGGGGGCCAACCTGCCAGCAGATGCGGGTCGGCGTCGCAGCGCACCCAGGGAGGGTGGCCAGTAGAACAACATAAACACTGACTCCCCAGAAGCCCCAGGATGCCCTCAAGAAGTCTTCCATCGTGCATTGCTCTCTGTCTCTTCTGGGGGTCGGCGGAATGGCGTAAGCCACCTGAACAAGCATGAACTTTCGGCGTTCCGCGCGGATTTCCTGGATCGGCGCTGGGACCCCCCTCCCTGGCGCTCGGAGCGCGCCAAAGGCGCCGCCAAGGGGGTCCCGCACATGGACAATAAATTCAAACCCTGCGGCGCAAGATGGCTCCCCAGGAACCAAATTAAGATTAGAGGATGTGGCAAACAAGGGGGCTTGAGTGGATCTATACAAACCCCCAATTCACCACCCATACTGAGTTCAACATTGATATGGGGGGCCGGGTGGGGTCAGTATTCCTCCAAGTCTGCATTGGGTTCGAATATCTTGTCCATGTACTGTCCCAGTGAATTATCGTTGCTCCTCGATGAGACGCCCCCCCCATCCCTGCGGCGGGTGCCACCACTCGGTCCTTGTCGGGCGCGAACGGCTCGGGCTGCTTCACCACCGCCAGCAGCCTCGACCCGTCCTCGTGGCGCGCTGGGGGGAGGAGAGGGGGGATGGAGGTGCTGCGGGACCAGGGCGCCGAAAGAGGGCGTGGGGGGTGTTTCTAAAAAGCCTTCCCCCCTCCCCTCTGCGCGTGGCTCGACTGCACGCAAGAGTGACCTTGGTAAGAGTGACCTTTGGTGCGCAGCTTTTGGGGGGCCGTGGGGAGACCAAACGCAAGCGAGCAAGACGCTGCTACGGCATGGCGCTCGGCGATCGCAGGGCCCCTTTGGGCCCGCACCAAAGGTCACTCCGGCGACAGGTCACTCTTGCGTGTAGTCCGGTGGCTAAGGGGGGCGGAGAGAGCGACATGGGCTTGAGCTGGCGCGTGCATCGGCGAAAGCGGCTCCGACTCCCGGGGGGAGGTGCGCCGCCCGCCTCGGAGAGCAGCAGACGCCGGCGGGGAACCCCCGCCGCGCCCTCGGCTCTGCCTGCGGCGTCGAGGCGGGAGCGGCACGGGAGGCGAGGGCAAACCCGGACATCCGCCTCCTCCTCCTCCTCCTCCTCCTCCTCCTCCTCCTCCTCCTCCTCCTCCTCCTCCTCCTCCTCCTCCTCCTCCTCCTCCTCTTACTATTAGTATTGTTATTATCAGTATTATTACTATTACGAAATTCTCTTAATTTGATTAGTAATATGGATTTTGATATTTGTCCTTAGTAGCTCTACTGTTGATGCTATAAAGAGTATTATCCTTATCAGTTGTAAGATGATTCGTAATCATCTTCGTATCAATCTATAGATAATATTCTAACTAGTAGTAGTATCATTATTACTACTACTACTACTACTACTACTACTACTACTACTACTACTACTACTACTACTACTACTACTACTACTACTACTACTACGACTACACTACGACACTACTACTACGACTACTACTACTACTACTACTACTACTACTACTACTACTACTACTACGACTACGACTGCGACTAACGCTACGACTACTACTACTCCTACTACTACTACTACTACTACTACTACTACTACTACTACTACTACTACGACGACTGCTACTACTACTACTACTACTACTACTACTACTACTGCTACTGATACTGCGACTGCTACTGTTACTGCTACTGCTACTACTACTACTACCACTACCATTACTACTACTACTATTACTACTACTACTACTACTACTACTACTACTACTACTACTACTACTACTACTACTACTACGACTACTACTAATAATAATAAGAAGAAGAAGAAGAAGAATAGTAGTAATTATAATAATACCATTCCTCTTATTCCTCTTCCTCTTCCTCCTCCTCCTCCTCCTCCTCCTCCTCCTCCTCCTTCTCTTGCTCCTCTTCCTCCTACTCCTCCTGCTCCTCCTCCTCCTCCTCCTCATCCTCCTCCTCATCCTACTTCTACTCCTCCTCCTCCTCCGCCCTACCAGGGCACCTAATTCGTGCCTCGCGCTGCGCGAGTAACTTTGTGCTCCCGCGCCGCCCCCCCAGGGGGAGAAGAGGAGGACGAGGAGGACTCGGAGCCGAAGCGCGAAGCGCGAGGCGCGACTCACTTCGCGCCCTCGAGGGCAAGCCTTGCCTCCAGCGCCTCGAAGACATCGAAGCGGAGGGCTTGCATCGTCTTCGGCCTCTCGGGGCCCTGACCGGGCCTTAGGACCGTCGTCAAGACGACTCGGGATGAAGGACCGGTCTGGGAGGAGTGGCTGAGAGGTCGGGGGTGCGTGCCTCGGGACAGTCGAGGCGCTGGACCTCCTGGGAGGGAGGAGGAGGCAGGGGAGGAGGGCACCGCACGCCGAGTGGGGCCCCGGCGCGGGCGTTCAAGCAAGGGGGCGCCCGGAGTCGGCCGGCGCTCTCGGCGCTCGCGGGAGGCCGCGGCGCTCTCGAGGACGTACGAGCCGCGCGGTGGCAGAAGCCAGCGCGCGGGTCGTCACGTGGTGCGACGTCAGGACGGGAGCTCGAAGGCAGACCGCGTGTGGCGCGGAAGCCTCGTCGAGGGGGGAGCGATCGGTTGTCCGGCGGCCTCGAGCCGCCCTCGGACACGAGGGGGGGGTCGTTAGAGCTCTACGATATGTCCCCCCATCTTTGATCTGATTCCTGCTCGCCATCTCGATCTCAGGTCGATCGGATGGATATTACAATCAAAAAGCACTCAGGGATCGGGATGTCCGGGGGGGGAGAGGCAGAAGGAGGAGGGCACCAGGGTCAGAGAGGCGCGAGCCGAAACAGACATATCGGCTCTGATGGCCGCGCGCACGCGATGCGGAGGCCAGCAGGAGAGGAGGAGCAGGAGAGAGAGGAGAAGGGGGGGAAGGAGCGGAGCATCAAGTTGAGGAAAAGGAGGGGGGATGATGCGACGCGGTCGGACAATGCAGGCTCAAACCCGAACGGCTACAGGTCGAGCCCTCGATCGAGAAGGAGAAGGCGAAGAAGAAGGAGAAGGAGAAGGAGGAGGAGGAGGAGCACGAGGGGGGCATGGAGAAGGTAGGAAAGAAGATGGAGAGCAGGGAAGAGGGATGGACCAGAAGAAGGAGGAGGAGGAGAAGGAAGGAAGGCAAGTGCAATGGAGAGGATGCGCACAAGGAGCATGACACCTCCAAGCTCCCTGGTATTGCCACAAACACCACCGACACCACAATCATCATGAACCTCCTCCTCCTCCTCCTCCTCCTCCTCCTCCTCCTCCTCCTCCTCATCATCATCATCATCATCATCATCATCATCAGCAGCACCATCAGCCTCATCATCATCCTCATAGTCCGCCTAATTACCGTCATCACCATCATCATCATCATCATCATCATCATCATCATCATCATCATCAGCGGCAGCATCATCATCAGCATCATCGTCATCAGCATCATCATCATAATCAGCATCAGCATCAGCATCATAATCAGAATCACCATCGTCTTCGTCATCGCCATCAGCGTCATCATCAGCATCATCAGCCTCATCATGATCATCACCATCCTCATCATCCACATAGTTATCGTCATCATCATCTTCATCACCCTCATTATCATCATCATCGTCATCATCATCAGCATCATTATCATCATCGTCATCACAAGCTGGAAACAAGTACAACAACGTCAATAACAGTAGCAGCAAGAACAACAGCAGCAGCAACAAAATCAACCTCCAAATCAGCATCATCAGCATCAGCATCGGCAGCATCAACATCAGCATCAGCAGCATCATCATAACGTTGGCAAGCGAACCCCGACGGGCCGGTCGGACGAGCCAGCCCTGACGGGCGGGTCGGGCGGGCGGACCCCAGCGGGCGGGTCGGGCGGGCGGTGTACTAAAGCAGGCGGGAGGGTCTCCACGCATGTGGACAGGCGAACCCTGGCGGGCACGCCGGGCGGGCGGACCCCACCGGGCGGGTCGAATGGGCTGACCCTGACTGGCGGGTCGGGCGGGCGGACCCTAGCGAGCGGGCCGGGCAGGACATTGAAGCCGGCAGGCGGGCTGGCCCTGACGGGCGGGTCGGGCAGGTGGGGCATCGAAGCGAGCTGTGCAAATTCGGAGGAAGCCTCGGGCGACAGCACGAGACCTGAGTAAACTGTGAAGGGGTCTCGTGCAGGAGCGAGGTTCCCGGGCGCCGAGGGCACGGCGCCTGAACGATCTGCAAGGAAGTCCTGAGGGAGAGCGCGATATCTGAGGAAATTGTGAGAAGTCCCGCGCGTGAGCGCAATTTGTAATACACTGTAAAGAAACATCAGGCGGGGACCCTTCCGGTGGCCAACAACATAGTTTAGAGTCTCAAGTGTTCCCCTCGTCAAAAAACCGGGTGCGAGCCCTCAGTGCCGATTCAATTGAAACATACAGTGGGCACTGGCGGGGGGATCAACAGTGATTATTCTTCAGACACGAAAGCTCCTCCTCATCATCATCAGCAGCATCATCATCATCAGCATCCTCATCATCACGAGCATCATGATCATCATCATCATCATCATCATCATCATCGTCATCATCATCAGCAGAAGCAGCATCATCAGCATCATCATCACCACCATCAACATCAGCAGCATCAGCATCATAAACATTATCCGTACCATTATCACCACCATCATTTCAGTATAACGGTCTTCATCATGATCATCACCACCACAACCACCATCACCACCGCCTGCAGCAGCAGCCGTATGTGCGTCAGCATCAGTAATCAGTGTCAGCAACATCCGCATCAGCATCATCATCATCAGCAGCATTACCATCAGCGTCAGCATCAACGACAACAGCAGCAACAACAACAACAACCACAACGACAACAGCAAAAAAAACAATGACCACAACAATGACAATGACGGCAACAACGACGACGACGACGACAACAACAACAACACAGCAGCAGCAACACACACACACACACACACAACAACAACAACAACAACAACAACAACAACAACAACAACAACAATCATTTTACCCGAACGCGTGGTGTTCTCCCCAGTGCCAGGGTTTTCATACGACACCAGGCAATACCCCCACTTCGTGGGGGGGCATTACAAGCTCTACCAAATATCCAAACGACTCTTCGCGACCACCCAAACCCAGCTTCCCGCCCTATGACGTTGGGACACTTCACTTCGTGGCGTGCGGACGACCGTGGCTACTACACTGGCGTGCGAACCCCGTTGCAAGAGCGTGCGAAAGTAGCTCGCGCGAGCTCATGTAACATAAATGTTGGAAAACCATTGGTTTTTTTAGGATTCGGACAGCGCGCGCGGGTGGAAATTTTGAAAAGTCGTGCAGGTGTTTTTCGAGGACCTACGGTGCGATTCGTGTGATTTTATGATGCGCGGTGCTAAAATTCTTAAGAACCCAATGGTTTTTGGAGATTTCGGCGTGCGCGCGCAAAAAACGAATGTGTCCCGCATGGTATTATTTGACAGGGATGATGGCCCTGGCAGGTGCGCAACCGTTGTCGCAGAAGTTCGAAAAAGTTGCTCGCAAAAGCCCGTTTGACAGAAATGTTTAAAAAGTGTTGGGTTTCCTACGAATCCGCAAGAGCGCGCGGGATGAGATTTTGACATTTTTTTGTTGAAAAACCATTGGTT